AGAAAAGTATTAGACAATGGTAAAAGAGTGGGATGCTCTGTTGCTTTGTCACCTTGTCTATATGGGGTCTTTGCATCAGTGTTGGACTCAAACAATAGCCCAGCATCAAAGAAGACACCCATACTGTCCTTTCCTCCACCAGGTGTGCAGCCTGTGTCATACTTCTCTACTATGTCCCACACCTACAGGTTAAAGTACAAAAACATACAAGAATGTAAATTGAACAGTAAACGTACAATAAGAGGACTCGAATATGGCTCACAAATCTAAAAAAAAAAAAAGGGCTAAAAAATAAAAAAATGTCTTGTTGACATTGTAAATTATTACGTTAAACTCAACTCACCGTCATATTTTTAGGTTTTTTATTTTATTTTAGAGTCACAATAATCTGTCCTCCTCTCTACACACCCTCAGAGCAACAAATAAAACTGGGGCCGTCTGGCGTATGTCCCAGCTAGGCATAGTTGTTCTGAGGCACAGGTTAACATGCTATAACAACATAATAAGTTTCAGGTTTTTCGTATCCATCCATCCATTTTCTTCCGCCCAAGCCCAAGCAGAGAAGCCCAGACCTCCCTCTCCCCAGCCACCTCCTCCAGCTTATCCGGGGGAACACCAAGGGGTTCGGCAGGCCAGACGAGAGATATCATCGCTCCAGCATGTCCTGGGTCTGCCCCGGGGCCCCCTCCCGGTGGGACATGCCCGGAAAACCTCGCCCAGGAGGTGCCCAGGAGGCATCCTTGTCATCCTTCCGGTCAGTACCCACAGCTCGTGACCATAGGTGAGGGTAGTGGCGTAGATCAACTGGTAAATGGGTAAGTAGTTTGTTCACCACAACAGACCGGTACAGAGGCCGCATCACTGCGATGGCAGCACCAATCCGTCTGTCGATGTCCGGCTCCCTTCTCCCATCACTCGTAAACAAGACCCCAAGATACTTAAACTCCTCCACTTGGGGCAGGGTCTCGTCCCTGACCCGGAGTGGGCACTCCACCGTTTTCCGGCCAAGGACCATGGCCTCAGATTAGGAGGTGTTGATTCTCATTCCCACCGCTTCACACTCGGCTGCGAGCCGTTCCAAGGCAAGCTGGAAGCCATCACCTGATGAAGCCCACCGGACAACATTATCTGAGAAAAGCAGATCCTGAGACCACCAAAGTGAAAGCCTTCCGCCACTTGGCTACACCTAGAAATTCTGTCCATAAAAATTATGAACAGAATCGTTGACAAAGGGCAGCCCCGGCGGAGCCCATCACCCACCAGGAACGAATCCAACTTATTGCCGGCTATGCGGACCAAGCTCTTGCAATGGTCGTATAAGGACTGAATGGTCCGTAGCAATGGGCCAGACACCCCATACTCCCGGAGCAACTCCCACAGGACCCCTCGAGGGACACGGTCGAATGCCTTCTCCAAGTCCACAAAACACATGTAGAGTGGTTGGGCAAACTCCCATGCGCCCTCGAGTATCCCATGCTAGAGGATAAAGAGCTGATCCAGTGTTCCACGACCAGGACGAAAAC